CGCGAACCTTCGATGGCATGGAAACATATATCCACCGATTCAATGGCCCCGCCGGCTGCTGTACGATAAACGTGTTACTCTCGTTGACTTTCTAGTTATTTACAGTCAATTTAGTTGAACTCATGAAAAACGTGCAGAACTAATGATGAAACTCACGTTAACGGATTCATTGTAGTTTGTAACGTAACTTATGAGATGTAATCACAAAACCTCAACAGAAACACAGTGTCGCTCGTACGGTATATGTTTACAAATGCTCACTTGTTCACTTTACATAAACAAGTATTAACATGGCAGCCTCCAGTGGAAGCTCGCTGTTTAGTGAGCAAAAATTGGATTGTAAAGATTTGCACGAGTTCTTACAAACTTTGTCGACATCCGTGCTTGATAAACTCTATACACACCCTGCAACATGTCTCGCAGTTTTCAGGTAATGGAAAACGTTTCGTTTAGTCAAATGCCTTACATCAAATGGTCCGGCTTTGAGCTCAACAAGTTAATCTGTGTGTTGTTACTGTTACGTTAGCGTTGTGCGGCGATCAGTATTGCTGAGAGGGTTTAGGCCCACAGTGGAGTAAGCCAGCACGGTATGGGATCCATATCAGGCGCAGGACTGCCAACATCTTGAAATGGTCCAAAGACGAGCAGCGAGATACGTCTCAAACCGCCACCACAACAGGTCGAGTGTTACTGACATGCTTGGAACACTCAACTGGCACTGAACTGGCCGACGCTGGAGTCAAGACGAAGGGTAGATACAATAATGTAACCCAAACCCATGATAGGCTCCCCTATCCTGGGTTTGGGTTACATTATTGTATCTAGACGAAGGGTTGCCCGTTTGGCTATGATGTACAAGCTCGTCAATGGCATAGTCAACTTGGATACCAACAACTGTCTGATACCACCTACTCGAAGCACCAGGAACATGTCAGAGCACTCTTTTCAAATCCCATCCTGCAGATGTGACTACAGTCTACAAGAAAGGCTCCTTCTTTCCCAGGTCTATTACAGAGTGGAACGCCTTACCCACTAAAGTGATGACAACCGAGAATCTATGTTCCTTTAAGTCTAATTACTGCCTAAACGACATCAGGGCAGTTTTTTAAAGTAAACTTTTTTTGTGTGTTTTTTCTTTAGAAAATCAAAGGGAAGGAAATTTTTATTTTAGTCTTAACTATAGCGCCTCCCGTTGGCAAAATCATCAGTATGTTGATGGTGGCCAATATAGAGTAGAAGTAGAAGTGGAAATTTCCCAAGGTACTATCGGAGGGTACCCTGGTACTATCTAATATGCCGGACTGTACCTTGCCTACTCTACTAACGAGTCTAGGGAGTCGCCTACGCCTACGCCCTAACCCTAACCATATCAGATAGTTACCAGGGTACGTTCCAATATATCAAACCGTACCCAGGGTACCCTCTGATAGTACCTTGGGGGACATAGACCCTATGAGCATCAGTATTGCATAATACATGATGAAGTTAGAGGTGTTCCTTGCTGCTTATGAACTTCCTTAGTCACTGGAACGAACTGATGAAGCCTGATCAGCATTGGCAAAGAAACACACCTCCCTCTCTCGGACATACCAATGGCAATGTTTGCAATCGGACGCATCCAATGAGCTGATGGATTGTATGTGTGTAAATTTATGTAATATGTGTGTAACACTGATCAAGCTCCTGCTAGGGAATTTCAAGCGTGAAACTCTCATGTTGATCAGATATCGGAAAGTAGCACAAAGGATTTGAGCAGAGTGTTTCCTGAATAAAGAAAGCGAACAGACTAGGCCTACCACTTGCATAACTCTAGTACGTACTGTAGCCCTTGTTGCCACGGACAACAAGGTCCGTGGAAACAAGGGCTATATAGTACTAGAGCTACCACTTGCAATGCACAAGCACCTAAACTTGCACCTAGATGCACGTACATGTGCCCAAGTCTCAGTCATTCTTCTTTCTTTAGGGAGCTGCCGGAATTAGCAAAGCAATTTGTGATGAGAACACTCTTTGTGGAGCAGCCGGTACCGCAAGCCGTCGTGTCGTCGTGGGTCAACGGCAAATTTCACGGGTAAGCAACGTGGTTTCTAGGAACAAATCAATAAATAAATCTTCTACACCAAACTCGTGAACGCCCTGTTATTCCAAAGCTTCCTATCTAAGATGACTCGTAGTCAAAATGTGCTTCTTGCACAATCTCAGTTTAATTAACGTGATGATTAATCGGATGAAGGATGGTTTGGAACCCCGCAAATGTGTTTTCGAATATGTGCTAAACTATAATCCAGGGTGCTAAACTAGGCTTGGGCCCCAATATCTTTATTCTAATCTCCACAAAGCAGTGGATTCAATTTTTGCAATGCATGCTGATTGTAAGAGAAGTTAGGTTGACTGAAACTGTTGCGGTTCCAGGGAACACAATTCGGCTGTGAAGACGTTAGCGGGTCTGCGAATATGGAATGAGGTGCACATGCCCGGCGGTCTGCGTGCGTGGTTGCTGAAAAATACGTTCAGAGTTCAACTAAGGATTGCACTTCTTGGAGGGTAACTATATAATAGCAGTCCAGGTTAAAATTTGTGCTTTTGTGATGTAACGACATTCTTCAACATTTATGGATGTATGATGTATAATAATTCCATTAGCATTAGTGATAAATCTTTGGTTTGACTTGTTTGCAATAGTTTTGACAACCAAACCAAACCAGTTTTGACTTGTTGTCTCTTTTAAACTGTCCTGATGGTTACATATGATTGCCACCAGGTGGCAGTAGGTGACAATGTCAGGCAATCTATCAGATGTTGATGGAGGCAGGTCACGAATCCAGGAGGCAGCACCAGGGCTTGCGTCCGTTGGTATTGATGTCATATAGTCCTTGGGTGATAGTATATTTTCTTATTTTTATTGATATTTCCATTTGGTTACTATTGCAGAGGGAAAGCTTGGCAGGGAGCCGTCACTGGTGGAACCCCAGACAAATATTCCAAAGACGTCACATTCCTAGACAACTATGCAAAGGAACGGTGGGAGGTAGGTTACTATTCTATAGAGCAAAATATATTTAAGGGAATGTTCAAAACAGTCAGTATAAATAAACAAATATTTTGCAGGTGTTTGTGCAATCATGTAGGTATATTATACATTTTTTACTTCCTTAAAAATACAATAGAATAATAGAAATAATACTAATAGAAATAATACAATCATTCCCCATTTGTGGATACTTACTACTAGAACCATCATGTTCTACACTAATAATAGATTATATTTGCTAACACAAACCTTCTTTTAACATTTCAAAGTGTTCAATACAAATAAATGATTATTAAAACGTGCGTAAATGGCCCCGATTCTCTTTTCTATTTCCATTTTTATCACGACGTGTCTACCACTGAATGCCTCTCTCGCGATCGTTGTCCGTGCACTACAAGAACGCGTGCGTGCAAATGTTCAGCCTGTTTTGCCCTCTTTTCTTCATTCTCAGTGCGTGTTGCACTTCATGGTTGGTTCTACGAGTGGAGCGGCAGACACTGTGAGCAGCGACACCAAGCAGGTTCTAGTCAAGTCCGGACTAATGCGCAGGTAAGCCATCGTATTACTTTAGTCGCGAGAACTCGCCGCAAAGCCTGCAGGCAGGCAGGCCAGCGTTCGAAATCGAGGGGCAGTGTAACGTAGGAAAGTGTACTAACTACCATATGGCACGAACAATTTGAGTTACATTTCTATAAATTCTAGCTATTATAGACACATGTCTTAGCTATAATCTATGTGAATGTTGAGTTTATTGAAGTACGATTAGTCTAATTACTTATCAAATATGCACGCGCGGTATAGCTCATAGGCTAATACATGCGCGGCTATTGCCGGTAGAAAAGTGTAGGCTACTAACTATCATATGGCACAGACGATTTGAGTTACATTTCTATAAATTCTAGCTATGTCTTAGCTATAATCTCTGTGAATTTTGAGTTTATTGAAGCACGATTAGACCAATTAATTAGCAAATATGCACGCACGGTATCGCGCATACTGACGTTTATTGTGTGCAGCCGGCTACACCTTAGTACAAGCATGGCTATGGCCGGTAGGAAAGTGTACCAACTATCATATGGCACGAACGAGTTGAGTTACGTTTCTAGAAATCTACATATAAACACATATCTTAGCTATAACCTCTGTGATTCTTGAGTTTATTGAAGAGCGATTAGTCTAATTAAAGCAAATATGCACGCGCGGTGTCGCCCTCAGGCTAATACACGCGCGGCTATGGCCGGTAGGAAAGTGTACTATCATATGGCGCAAACAATTTGAGTTACATTTCTATAAATTCTAGCTATTAGTATTAATACTATTATAGACACATGTCTTAGCTGCCTATGATAGTATGATCCCTGTGAAAGTCGTCTTGAGTTTATTGAAGCGTGATTAGCGAAATGCGAAATGCGAAATTAGCAAATATGTACGCGCGGTATTGCTCATATCATAGTCATAGGCTAAATACCAAAATGAAAACGAAACGTCACGAATTCTATTTTTATCCTCCAATCACAGGTCGGAGCAATTCCTCTGTTTAGACGCGTGCCATGGAATCCCATGGCAATGGCCTGATTCAATGGGTGGATATATGTTTCCATGCCATCGAAGGTTCGCGTGACGTCAGTGTACGTCAGTGTGACGTCACCACCATAGACCAATCACGCACGCCCATCCATGTATGCATATAGGGCACATCCATAATACATCATTCGAGCAAACCAAAATAGCGCAGCGCGTATGGCGCCGGACGTTTCTTCTTGAGGTGGTGGGTTCGAATCCCATCTGTTTATTATTTTTATTTTTCTATTTTTCTATCTTTATCCATTTAACTATTTTGTGTTAGTGTTAGTGTTAGTATTAGTGTTAATTAAATTAAATTAGGGTTAGGGTTAGGGTTAGGGTTAGGGTTAGTTTAGTTAGGGTTAGAGTTCAGGGTTAGGGTTTTAGGGTTAGGTGGATTAGACGGTTAAGGTTAGCGCGTTAGGGTTAGGGTTGGGTTAGGGGTTAAGGTTAGGTTAAGGTTTTTGCATCAGTGTTTATGTGGCGTGACGTAGCGCATCACGCGCAGTAGGCCGTATGCATTCAAACTTTACTTTTCGGAGCATAGCCGAGTTCTCAGTGCGTGACGTACACTGACGTCACGCGAACTTTCGATGGCATGGAAACAGTATATCCACATGTTGATGTGGATTCTGCTGTACGCCACTTGCCATCTATTGACGAATAGCATTTTTCGAATTTTTGACTTAATATTTAATACTTAAACTTTTTTTTAATTTTTTTCTCAGCCGAACCATCTCCCAGACGTGGTGATTTTCTGAATAATATCTTCAGTTAGCGCATTAAGTGACAAATCGGGCAAAAGCCGAGGGACAAACAACACCACACACAAGCATTAGCCCAAAATTATAGTATAGATAGTAACCTAACTTGCTGCTTACGCTCTCCTGAAAAAGTCACCCTGAAAAGTGTTTTGAATCTAACTTGTAGGTTCGAGTCTCAGGGTTTGAGATAGTGTCATGTTCAGACATGAGAATAATGAGCCGGACAGTTATGCCTTCAGATTGCAGGAAAAATGGCCTTGAAATATTTTCAAAATCTTACATGCCTACGCGGCACGGTGCCATAACGTAAGTTGTCAAATTTGGCATGTGCGTGCATGTCTCATTAATATGTATGCATGTATAAATGTATGATTGTACGGTTTGTGTTTTGTGTGTGTGTGTGTTGTTTGTTCGTTTTGTGTGTGTATGTTGTGCATTGTGTGTGATGTGCTGTGATATGTGGTGTATGTGGTCGTGTGTGTGTGTCGTGTTGTGTGTGTGTTGTCGGTGCGTGTTGTGTGTCGTGTTTCGTAGCGTGCGCGATCGTTCCGCGCGTGTGCGCGTAAAATTAATTGTGGGCCTTGTGCTCGTAGCTAGTAATAGTATGTTGATAGCTATCGCCGACATCCCCTTCCCTCCCCCCACTCTCGGCTACTGGACTAGCTCTGTTAACATGTGTGCTGGGGAGGATTGTGATAGTTGTCCTCATTTTACTCTTGATATGATCTGCGCTTCAACACTCATTGAAAAGCCAGCGACACGTACACGTGCGTGCGTGCGTGCTGTACGTACACGTGCGTGCGTGCTTGTGCACGTGTGAGTGCGTGCGTGAGTACGTACACGGGGCGGTGCTCCGAGACGGTGCGTGTTCGATCACGCGCGCGCGCGCTGCCACACGTCGTGTGTACGCTTACACGGTGCGTGCGTACGTGCGTGCGTGCTGTGCTGCAGTACATGTGACGTGCCTGTAGTATCCGTGCAGTGTTGTACGTACACGCGCGTTGCGTGCGGTGTGCACGTACACGTCTGCGTGCGGCGTGCGTGTGTACGTGTTACGATACACGTGCGTGCGTGCGTGCGTGAGTGTGCGTGGTGTCACGTACAGCGTTGCGTGTGGCGTGCGTAGCGTACACGTGCGTGCCTGTTGCGTGAGTACGCTACACCGCTGAGCGCGCCGTGCGTGTTGTACGTACACCGGGCGCGCGTGCGTGTGTACGTACACGGGCGTGCGTGCGTTGGTCGCGTGCGTTCTGCACGTAATGTGCGTGTGTACGTACACGTGGCGTGCGTGCGTGTGCACGTACACGTGGCCGTTCAGCGTGCCGTTGGTGTACGCTACACGGACGCGTGCGTGCGTGGTGCCCAACGTAGCACGTGCGTGCGTGCGTGTGTACGTACACGTGCATGTGCGTGAAGTGGTGTGTGCGGGTGCGTGTCACGTCGACCGTGCGTGATGTACGGTTACACGGGCGTGCGTCGGTGCGTTGTGCACGTACACCGTGCGTGTGTACAGTACCAGTGCGTGCGTGGGGGTGTGCACGTACACGTGCGTGCGTGCATCGTGGACGTGCGTGCGTTGTGTGCACGTACACGTGCGTGCGTGTGTGCACGTACACGTACGTGCTTTGTGCCACGTACACGTGTGTGCGTGGTTGCGCTTCGACGTGCACGTACACGTGCGTTGCGTGCGTGTGCACGTACCGTGCGTTGCGTGTTGGGTTGCATCGTGGTGCGTGCGTGCGTGGTGTACGTTTACACGGCGCGCGTGGTGATGATACGTATCACGGCTAGCGGCCGTGCGTTGTACGTACACGGGGTGCCTGTGCGTGACGTGTGTACGTACCGGAGCGCCGCGTGCTGTGTGCGTACACGGTGCGGGCGTGCGTGATCTTGTGTACGTACACGTGATAGCCGTGCCGTGCTGCTGCGTTCGGTTGCGTGCGTGTCACGTACACTGCGTGGATCGTGCGTACTATACGTGCGCTGCGTGCGGCCACTGACCGTGTGCACGTACCGTGCCGTGCGTGCGTGGTGCTGTGCGTTCGTGTCACGTTACACGTTGTGCCGCAAGACCTCGTGTGTGTATCCCCGCGGTGCGTTACGTACACGGGCCGTGGCGTGCTTGCTGCAACGTGTGCGTGCTGTACGCGTTGTGCCGCGTACACGTTCTTGCTGTGCACGTACACGTTTGCAGTGCGTGTGCACGTAGCTGCAGTGCGTTACCCTAGCGAAACCCAAAAAGATGTTCTCGACATGCTACGTGTTGCATTGGTGGCCTGTGCTTCGCTTCTCGCTGCTGATGCGCAGGTGAAGCGCGATACTTAGCCGATATGAACTTTCAAATTCGCGGTGGTATCGCGAAATGTCGCAAAGATAAGTCAAATATCGGCCAGTTATCATGCGAATTTGAAGTGAAATATGAATCATGAATGTTGGTCCGTATTAGATGAATCAGTCATTACTGTACGGATCGGTTTGTGTGTGGGGGGGGGCGCGGCTAGGTGTAATCCGTCGGGGGGGTGCGGAGTAATCTGTACGGGTGGTAATTGTCCTGCGTGGGTAATTGTCCGGGTGGGTAATTGTCTGCCGTGGGTAATTGTCCGGTGTGGCGTAATTGTCCGTTGGGGTAGTTGTACCTAGTGGGTAATTGTCCTTTGGTGGGTAATTGTCCTGGTGGGTAATTGTCTGGTGGCGTATCGTCACGGGTGGGTAATGTCCTGGTGGGTAATTGTCCAGGTGGGTAATTGTCCTGGTGGGTAATTGTCTGGGGGGTAATTGTCGGTGCGGTAACTTGTCCAGTGGGTAGTTGTCCGTATACGTAACATCATATATAATATCTATATTATTAATAGATATGATTGTTAATTGTTGAGCATTCGGCGCTATTGGCATTGTTATTGGCATCAATATTGTTGAGCCGTCTTTATTTATTTTACTGTTGTTCTTTTTAAGTTTCATCTGCATGGGAAATTAAGAACCTACTTTTAAAATCTTAGGGCCTAACAGATTTTTTTATGTAAAAGGGTCTAAATGGGAAATTTTAGCCTACACATGATTTCTTAAAATCTATGTTCTTATACGCGAGGTTTTTACTGATATGTCAGATGAAGCTTAAAAATCAGAAGCGACTAGTTAATTGCCCCATAGCCTTTAGTCTGCGGACTAGTATATATTTTCCCGTCCCTCACAGTTCCCAATTTAGTCCATCTCCAAATCTC